AGGCATTTGTGACGGTCATCCTCCGAGAGGACGATTCCCAACTCCTGTTCCCAAGCGGAAAAGAAGCAGTTAAAATTCTTACACAGGGCGTATTATACTCCTTTCCTGTTCTGTGGACTGTCATTGTCATAGATATAAAACGGAGATTGGCACTTTTTTGCATGTGAAGAGGTTCTGTTGGTTGCTACAGTTGTACTAGGATTCTGTGGTTTCCACAATCAATGGTGTTACTGGTCTACAACTTGAGGCGGACCCTTTAATATTTGTATTGGGATTTGTGGATCGCATATTCACTACCAGGGCTAATAAGCTCCTCATTTTTTACGTGGCCTTCTATGCTCACTGTAAAATTGTTGTTAGATGGAAGATGGATACTCCGCCCACTGTGGATCAGTGGCTATGAACAGTGGATAGGATGTTGCCACTCTACAAACTAACTTATATGGATCAGAATTGTCAGAATTTGATCGTGTTTGAGCAGATTGGGTGGAGGCTAGGGGACTCACAGTAAAGGGCTTGAGTGGATAGTTTCTCCCCTCTGGCTGTATCTCCTGGGGCTCATGAGCTACTAACTATTGTGAGGCTTGCTAGATAGTATCTTTGGCTTGTTTTATTGTGCTTTTGACATTGCTCAGTTCATATTGACTTTCGTTCTGTTTCCTGTTCTTTCCCTTTCCTTACATCTGTGTTTTCCATTGGCTTCCCCCTCCCCACCCTTTTTCTTTTTTGCTTATCTACTTATCCAATTGAAGAATGCCAGGGAGTGATACAGGATGCCAGTAATATTTAAGCCTCATTACTCAACTGATCTGTGGAAGGCTATTTTTATGCTTCTTCCTTTTCTTTCTGCATCTGTTATTTGACTGTATGTGCCTTATCTGTACTTACCAAGAAACCCATATGTTTTGTGTAATTTGTTTCTTATGACCTATTTTTCTATTGTGTTCTGTTGATTACTTTTGTTGTTATGTAAAAAAAAAAAGCAGCAAATCTTCATATCAAGTAATTTCTTTAAGTAGATCTCCAGCAAAAGCATGTTGTTTTGTTTCCCATATTTAGGTGTAGAAGCTATTTATTACTGTGAGCCTTTTTCTGTGTCACCGGAACAGGAAGTGGGAGAAAATGTGTCCAACAAGGTCAAAGATTGCAATAAAAACATTGAGTGGGGATGGGTTAGAAGCTTTATGGGATATTTATCGCTGTCTATGTCGCTACAGGGGATGTATTCTTCATAGTGATTAATGTTACTGGGGCAGGATGTTACACAGGCAGCAATAAAAGCACAACAGAGATTCTAATACCTTCCCACACTTTCCAGAATTAAAGAAACATGTATTGGTTTGAGTACCACTTTTAAGCGACCCTACAGGAGTAGTAAAAAGTTCTCACATGCCCATGTCCTTTACAACCATCCCATTCCAGCACTGCAGCCCCCATCAGTCTCTGGCATTTAATACTTCTGGCAGTGTCAGATGCCTGTGTCCCCCCACTGCATACTGTGGTTCCCCTAACCCAGGGGTCAGCAACCTTAAACACTCAAAGAGCCATTTGGACCCGTTTCCCACAGAAATGAAAACACCGGGAGCCACAAAACCCTTTTGACATCTAAAATGAAGATAACACTATATACAGGCCTCAAAATTTCCACTCACCCCCTCGCAATTGGCGAGTGAAAATTGCAGGGGGGCGAGTGGAATGTCAGAGATGGAGTGCGCTGCCGGCGGGACCAGGGATGGGACACTACCGCCCACTCGCTTCTGTTCATTCTTTGTAGGCTGCTGCAGGTACGAGCGTCCGAGATGAGAGAACAGAAGCGAACGATCTCCGCGGCAGTAGTGTTCCATCCAGAGCCGGCATTTAATCTCTCCCGTCTAGGCCGCTCTGCTGCTGCAGTGGCCAAGAGGGGAGAGATTAAGTGCTTGCGGCAGCGGGGGCATTTGCAAAGGTATCCGAGAGGCCCGGGGGGCAATTGCCACCCTGCCCCCGTGCCTAGTCTGCCCCTGGGTCAGACTAATCCAGCACGTTATTAATATGAGTGCCCCACTCAATATGGCTGCAAGCGAGGGGCATACTGAGTGGGGCAACTCAGATTAATAACATCCGAAAGATGTGGACTGGGAGGGGGGACTCTTTAAGACTGCTCTGACTTTAAGACTGCGGTGGCGGGGAGAAGAGAACAAGAAGCTGGACTGCCACCGTCTTTGCCCGCTTCGATTGGGCTCCTTGGCGGCCACAGCAGTTTCCTCCGCCCACCTCAGCTGCCATTGGTGGGAGAGGAAGACTGCCGAACTGCAGTTGGACGGCTTCTGCTGCGTAGGAGAGAAAGCCGGCTGGACGTGCAGGCAACCTCGCTGATCCACCACCATCACCAGAAGAAGAGGTCAAAGCAACTGTAAGCCCCTGTACTTTCTTTGTGACATTCTGACCGCTGACCTCTGTACTGTGTACTGACCTCTGTACCGTGCGTCACACCCTGACCTCTGTACTGTGCGTCACACCCTGACCTCTGTACTGTGCGTCACACCCTGACCTCTGTACTGTCCATCACACCCTGACCTCTGTACTGTGCATCACATTGCTGACCTCTGCACTGCGCATCACATTGCTGACCTCTATTTTATGCTATTTATATAGGTATATGTGGTCTTAGTAACGCACTGGACTCTGGTCTTGGTAACGCACTGGACTCTGGTCTTATTAACGCACTCCCCCACTCCTCATTCAGGCTCGCCTGCTAAGCCTCACAGCCAGCATCCCAGCCAGACGGTGTGCACTGCAGGGGGCGGGGCATGTGACACACACTTCTCTCCCGCCGCCTGTCACTAGGGACGTGGCCGGGAGAGGAGGTGAGTCACAAGACCCGCCCCCTTACTGAGAAGCCCATCTATTCCACCAGGGGGAGTGCCCAGGACCGGACCTGATTGGACCCCTCCATAGCCTCAGGCCCCCGAGGCCGCAGGGGTAGTTCCGCCCCTGGACAGGGAGCCACAGCAGAGGGATGAAAGAGCCACATGCGGCTCCGGAGCCGCAGGTTGCTGACCCGTGCCCTAACCCCTATGTCACTGTGAGATGCAGAAGTGACATAGGAGTCAGAGGATGAAACCACAGCACGCAGCAGGGAACACAGACATCCAAACCTAATGGAAGTATCAAATGCCGAGGAGACTGATGGAAGCTGCGGAGCTGGAATGGAGAGGCGGTAGGAGATACAGGCCACCAAAGATGTGAATATTAGAGGTCTTCTCTTGCAGGGCACATTTAGAAAATTTGCTACCCTGACAGGACTGATTTAACAACAAAGGTCATACTAGAAATAGTGCTGTAAAATACTAGGTCTGCCTTTTCTACCATGTTTCCATGGTCACACTGTAATACCCCATCCCATTCATCCTCCCCCCCCCCCCCCCCACAAACAACACCCCACAACACTATAACATGCG